AACTCAAGAGTACGGAAGGGTTTTCAGCATGATGTTTGTGATTTGAAAGGACCGCTAGAGACCTGGAAGGAAGGTACTGCAGTCCAGTCCAGGAGCGCCACTCACGGGCCTGGAGAGCTTGCWGGTCGCCTAGCAACCAGAAAGCGCTCCGCCCCGGGGTGACCGCTCCGCAGCTGAGTGAGGCCCCCCCGCCCCCTCAAGAGCCTGTAGTAGCTCCGCCCCGCGACAGGGGGCGGGCGGAGCCTTCTTATTGGTCGTCTCTTCGGAAGTGACGGAATTCGGAATCTCGCGCACAGTCTGGCAACACCCGGGCGGGTGGGTGCGGGTTCGCTGTGCGTGGTGGCGGCGCGTGGCGCGGATTTGTGGCAGGGCGGCGGGGGCTGGGGGGGGGTCTCAGCAACTGAGACGGGACCGTAAGGCTGAGGGTCCCCACACACCTGACCCTGGTGCGTGACCTGCTCTCCGGTTCCCAGAGCTCCAGGCGCAGGCCGGGATGTTCGTCCTGGTGGAGATGGTGGACACCGTGCGAATCCCCCCGTGGCAGTTTGAGAGGAAGCTCAACGACTCTATTGCCGAGGAGCTGAACAAGAAATTGGCCAACAAGGTACCGCCSGGCCCCGCCCGCTGCAGACCTGGTCACGGTCATGCCCAGCCTTGTCCCTGGGCAAGTAGCTGAATGTCTCAGGACCTCCTTGCCGCCGCTTGGAAACGGGATGGGGGTATCCTGAATCTCACAAGGATTGAGGAGAGGATCAGAAGAGAAAATGGACTTTTAAAGGGTTTTGTAACAGATAAGTGCTGGGTTCCACACTTCTAAATCACTTTGCGATCTTGGGCAAGTCACTCGCTCTGGGCCTCAGTTTCTATTACAAAATGAGAACAATGCTCTTCTACCTACCATTTGTTATTTTTTGTGAAGATGGAGAGTTCTAGTGGCATGGAATTCACTGTCAGRAGATTTATCCATTTATTCCTGTGACATGTTTGCACACCTTCTATGTGCCATGCCTGTTTGCCTCAGTGCTAGCTCCTGAGCGGCCTTCCTATCCTTCTGTGCTTGCCCTCTGCCCAGTGGTCCAGTGTCATCATTATCTTTCCTTTTAACTCTTTTTTTTTTTTTTTTTTGTACCAGGGATCGAACCCTGGGATGCTTAACCACTGAGCCACATCCCCAGTATCTTTTTTTTTTTTTTTTTAAAGAGAGAGAGAATTTTTAATATTTATTTTTTTAGTTTTTGGTGGACACAACTTCTTTGTTTGTATGTGGAGCTGAGGATCGAACCCGGGCCGCACGCATGCCAGGCGAGCGCACTATGCTTGAACCACATCCTAAGCCCCCCAGTATTTTTTTATATTCTATTTAGAGAAGGTCTCCTTGAGTTGCTTAAAGCCTTGCTAGTTGTTGAAGCTAACTTTGAACTGGTCTGCTGAGCTGCTGGGATTCCAGGCATGCCACTACACCTTGCTTTTTTCTTTCCTCTGTTACATTCTTGTTTTTTGTTTATTTGTTGAGTGCATTTTGTTTTTCCTTTCCATGAGGACAGGGACCTGTCTGTTTTTTTTCCTTGCAGTATCTCCACACTTAGCCAGAGCTTGGCAGAGTAAATGCTCCATAATTATTGATTATGGTGAGAAAAGCAGAAATGATTAAGGAGGACCCCCGCAGTTAAGTATATGAGGATGAGTTGATATAAATATCATGAAGAACAGGTATTCACACACTTGTGGAACAAAGGAACTTCACCTGGAATGAGAGGGATAGGTGGCTTTATTGAGGAGGTGGCACTTGAGCCATCTGATTGTGAGGATATGTGATGGTGAGGAGGAGCCAACTGGAGGATTTGTTTTTGAGTTGGGAGTAGGCCAGGCATAGAGAAGAGCTGTGTAGGCAGAGGAATCAGCATGTGCAAAGGCCCTGTGGAAGGACATGGAGGAAGCTAGTAGGTTTGGGAAGGGTGAGAGGAGCGTGGGCTGGAAGATGGATAGGCCTGCATCCCCATACGATTTCACAGTCAGAGTTTCAGTCTTCATGGGTAGAGCAGCAGGAGGTGATGGGCTGGGAAAGAGCCAGAGGAAGACTGGTTGACTTTAGACAGGAGGAAGATTCCTTCAAAATAAGTTGAGATGAAAGGATGGCAGTGTACAGATCTGGGAGTGTTTAGGTGGTGGAGGGAACTCACGGAACCCTTAGTGGATGTTTCTGTTACTTTGTGAGGTAGAAGGTGAAGATTTGTGGAGGAATGAGGTATGAACATGGTAGAGAGAAGGTGTGAAAATATAGGAAGGGAATATGGTCCCCTGGGGCGTAATCCTTTTGAGACAAATCTTTCTATATTTGAACTAGGACSTCTGAGAGGAGGCCACACAGAAAARGCCTAGTGTCCTTGAAGGGCATCTCACCTGCCTCCTGAGCCACTGGCTTTCATAGTCTTGTGGCAGTGAGGTCTGCCCACAGCTCAGTTCTCTGAGTATCTTGCTAATCCCTGAACAGCTCCTGCAAGGTCTGTTACTAGGAGGTGATATTATAGTGTTGTTGGTGGATACTGGACATAGTAGACAAGTTGTTTGGAGCACTGTGGTGTGGGACTGGGGCCATGGGATGTTCTATCCTGTCTTAGGGTCTTGGCCCTTGGTCACTGTGCCAGCACATTCCCTACAACCGCCTGTRTCTGACACATTGTGAGCACAGCAGAGTTAGCTGTGGTTCTACCACTCAATGGCTGCAAGCTGCAGCGTGAACTTTGGGATGTTGAAACGTGTGGGTATAGCCAGGATTCCTGCCCCAGTCCTCACTGGTAATACCAGGGATCCTCACTTGGTTGTTTTTGCAGTGGCTGAGCCAGACACTAAGATAGGGCTTCACTCCAATCTCTGTATAATTTAACAATACTATATATATTTCATTTTTGCAGATGGGGAAACAGGCTCCAAGAGGCAATATGATGGCATTAGGGGTCACACAATGAATGATAGAGCTGGCATTGGAGGCTGGATCTGTCTGGTCACCATGGGGCCTGTTCTTTCCAGAGCCCTGTGTCCTTCTGAGCTTCCCTACCATGATTACCTCCTGCAGAGCCCCAACTCATTTCCATTTAAAAGAGGATACTCAACTTGCTTGTGGTTATGAGGGTCTCCAGAGGTACTCCTGGGGAACTGGACTTCATAGTCACGTGTATGTGTACACATGCACACAGGTTGTGTACAACGTGGGACTCTGCATCTGTCTGTTTGACATCACCAAGCTGGAGGATGCCTATGTGTTCCCAGGGGATGGCGCTTCACATACCAAAGGTGGGTACCTTCTCCTCCTAGGGAATTGCATTTCCTGGGCTCAATTCTATAGCAAGAGGTCAAGCTATAGAGAAACTGCAGGTGGTGGGAGACCTGGGCCCATTCCTGACTGTGTCAAGAGTTGATGCCATAAGAGTGGGCAGATTCATGTCCTCTCTGGGCCTCAGTTTTCTCATCTGTAAGAAATAGGATGTAACGCCAGCACGGTGGCGCACGCCTGTAATCCCAGTGGCTTGGGAGGCTGAGACAGAAGGATCGCAAATTCAAAGCCAGACTCAGCAAAAGTGAGGTGCTAAGCAACTCAGACCCTGTCTCTAAATTCAAAAATAGGGCTGGGGATGTGCCTCTGTGATCAAGTGCCCCTGAGTTCAATCCCTGGTACCAGAAAAAGAAATTGGAGGTAAACTAGGTGATTTTCAAGACCTCTCCAGCTGTGATTGGGGCTTCACATCTGTGCCCCTTTGGGTCTTTTCTACTCCCCAGCTCTKCTCTTTACCCATCCTTGGGGCTGCTCATCACCCGGTACAGGAGACAGGCCAGGCCATTGCTGGGTTACGGGGTGGGGGAAGCAGGTGACCTTGAGAAGCAGGAGGACATAGCTGTTGAAAATGTGGCCTGTGCTGGGTATGGTGGCACAGGCCTGTAATTCTGGCCATTCATGAAGATGAGACAGGAGCAACATGAGTTCCAGGCCAGTCTGGGCAACTTAACTTAGTAAGACTCTGTCTCAAAATAAAATGAAAAAAGGGCTGGGGGTGTGGCTCCATGGTTGAGTGTCTGGCATGCTGTGGGCTCTGAGTTTAGTAACCAGCATGGCCCCCCAAAAAAAAAGAAAAGAAGAAAAGAAAAAGTGTGTGGGGGCGGCAGAGTTGTGGCTCAGTGGTAGAGCACTCGCCCAGCACGTGCAAGGACTGGGTTCGATCCTCAGCACCACATAAAAATGACTAAGTAAATAAAATAAAGGTATCATGCCTGTCTACAATTAAAATAAATAAATAAATAAATAAATATGAAAAGAAAGAAAGAAAGAAAAAGCGTGGCCTGTGGATTCAGATCGCTACTCTGCTTATTGGCTGTGTGTCCTGAGTAGAATATGTAACCTCTGTCCTTCTTGTTCCTCATCTACCAAATGCAGTTAAGAGATTTTTATGGGCTGGGATTGTGGCTCAGCGGTAGAGAGCTCTCCTAGCACCGGCGGGACCTGGGTTCCATTCTCGCACCACATAAAAATAAAGGCATTGTGTTGTGTCCATCTACAAAAAAGATATTCATTTTCTCTCTCTCTCTCTCTCTCTCTCTTTCTCCCCCCCCTTTTTTTTTTGCTATTTTGAACTAAATTTATTTATTTTATTTTTTTTTCCTTTTTTTTTTTTTATTGATTGTTCCAATCTCTCTCCCCTTAAAAAAAAAAAAAGAGACATTTTATATTCCAGGACTGCTGTGAGGATGGGGTTAATACATGGTAGAGCTCCTAGGACAGGACCATAGCACCTAGCATGTACTCCTCCAGTTGGATTGCTTTTCTCCATGCTCTGGGTCATTTAGGTGGTGTTCTTCTGGGGTGGCTTGGCCAGGTCTGGGCCATGTAGGATGGCTGTGTGTTCTGGTTAGTGGCAGCCTGGCTGGTCTGGGTCCTCCTGTGGTCTCATCTTTCAGTAGGCCACTCTGGGCTTGGCAGTTTCAAGGTTGCAAAATTCACTGAGGAAGCGCTTCTGCAGCCTCTGTTTAAATCCCAGTGGCCAGAGGGTCATGTGGCCAAAGCCCTGGGCAAGAGATGGAGAGACTCCACCTCTTTTTTTTTTTTTTTTTTTTTAGTTGTAGATGGACACAATACCTTTATTTATTTGTTTATTTTTATGTGGTGCTGGGGGGTCGAACCCAGCACCTCACGCATGCTAGACAAGYGCTCTACCACTGAGCCACAACCCCAGCCCCAGAGACTCCACCTCTTGATGGGAGAAAATGCTGTCACATTGAAGGGGTGTGCATCTGGGAGTGCAGGGTTAGAGGAGGAGAGGGGCCTGGGGTGTAGTCCTGATGGAGATGTGTGGAGCTTGTTGGAGTGTGGGTCTGTAGCCTTGCTGTCACCTGGGCATGTGATGGAAATGCAGATTCTCAGCCTGCCCAGACCATGGATCAGAGTTGAGAGCAGAAGTGAGGCAGTTTTAAGGGCCCTGTGATGCTCTCACAGCCGGTGGCCAAGGAGCCCTGTCCTAGCCTTTGCTTGTCAGCCTCTCAGCATGGGGATGCCCAGGCATTCCAGAATGTGCTGGGACTGCCTGGGCCCTTGCAGGCATCCAGGGCTTAACTCATTCATGTGGATGTTACTGTGCTCCATAGGGAGCCCTAAGAAATAGGCTGTCTTTGAGTGGACTAGGGGCATTTTCATGAGCAGAAAACAAAGACTGTGATGTGAAAACCACCAGCAGGGCTGCTTCCAGGAGAAGGAGCTGAGCTGARCCCTGGCTCTGAGTGACCTCTGGTTGTCCAGAAAGCAGGTGGCCCTAGGTACCTGAGCTTCCAGATATAAGTCTGGTTTGGGGAAGTTCTGCATGGTCGGTTGGTTGTTTCTGTGTACGACTGCCCATTGATCTTCATCATTTTTCACCCGGGAACAAATATGCGGCGCTGAGCGCTGGGTAGGCACATCACAGGGACTAGATGTGAATTCTGGGTCTGGTCCTGGATGGGGGCATTGGCAGGTCATTCCGTTWCCTGGTTTTGGTTTCTCCGTGAGTGCAGTAGGGTAACTCTCTGGTAATATAGCTCCTCATGGGCCACTGAGCACCATGCAGGTGGAGTTGCTATTTTGTAGTGAGGTCAGTTGCTGTTTGATTCTGATGCTGGCTTTTGTCTCCAGGCACAGTTGTGCTGTCCCCTTTCTGCCTCCCACAAGGCTCTGGTCTGGTGGAGCAAGTGCCGCAGGGGGTCATAGCACCAGGATAGGCCCTGCCTTTACCTCTGCTTTGAGGAATATTCATTTGCTAGGTGCTTCTGCATTTTGTCACCTAGGACAGGTTGCTTTAGCTCTCTGAAACTCCATTTCCCCATCTATTCCAATAGTATAACAGTGCATACCTCATTAAATGTACACGAGTAGACTCTTCTGCAAAACTTCCTGTGTGGTGGGTACTCAGAAGACTTCAGCTTTCATGATTTGAGACACTGACCTTGACTTGCCAGGCTTATCCACAATCACTTAGAGCACTTCTACCTGGTGCCTGCCAAGCCTGGGTCCTGGCCTCCCCTTCTAATGCTCTGTTCTGTCCACTTAGCCCTGAGCAGCCTGCTTATTGGTGGTTTTTCTTTTTCTTTTTCTTTTTTATTCACTGTTTTGATAAAAAGTGTGTAACAAAATTTAATGATTTAACTTTTTTGTGTGTACAGTTCAGTGATATTAAATATATTCCCATTGTGTCTTCCCCCCTGCCACCCCAAAGTACTGGCGATTGAACCCATGGGTGCTTTACCATGATCTACATTCCCATCCCTTTAATTAAAAAAAAAAAAAAAAAATTGGAACCAGGGGTTGAACCCAGGGGGGATTAACCACAGAGCTACATCCCTACCCCTTTTTATTTTTTATTTTGGGACAGGGTCTTGCTAAGTTGCTGAGGCTGACTTTGAAGTTGTGATCCTCCTGCCTTAGCCTCCTGAGCTGCTGGGGTTATAGGTKTGTGCCACGATACCTGGCTATTATTATTGTTACCACCATCTACCTCCAAGACTTTCTCATCTTCCTATGGTGAAATTCCCTTCCCATTAAATACTGTCTTCTTATTCTGTAGTTCCTCGAAACCCCCATTCTGCTTTCTGGCCCTGTGAATTTGACCATGACATGAGTAAGAATCATAGTGTCCTTTTTGCAGAAATTTACTACACCCCAAGGCAACCTTACTTATTCTTGCACAAATTTTGCTTAAGCCCACAACTAAGAACAAACTCTTCTTCTTCTTCTTTTTTTTTTTTAATTGGAGCCTGGGGGTTGAACCCAGGGGTACTCAACCACTGAGCCACATCTCCAGCCCTTTTTATATTTTATTTAGGGACAGGGTGTTGCTAAATTGCTTAGAGCCTTGCTAAAGTGCTGAGGCTGACTATGAACTCACAATTTTCCTGCCTCAGCCTCCCAAGCTGCTGGGATTATAGGCACGTGCCACCATGCAGGCCAAACTCTCCTTTTTTGGTGAGGGAGGGGTGCTGGGGATGGACTCAGGGCATCACACAAGTAAGGCAGGGGCTTTTTCAGTGAGTTGCACCCTCAGCCCTCTTCCTTAGGGTTTATAATCCCATGTGTATGGRCACCACATTTGTGTACAATTCATCCATAGATGGACACTCAGGCTGTATGCTTCTGACTTTTGGATGTGGTTTAAGATGGTACTCCCTTGCTGGGCGCAGTGGCATACACCTGTAATCCCAGTGGCTGAGGCAGGAGGATTTCAAGCTCAAAACCAGTCTCAGCAATTTAGGGATGCCGTGAGCAATTCAGTGAGATCCTGTCTCTAATAAAATACAAGAAAAGGCTGGAGCCGGGTGCAGTGCCACACGCCTGTAATCCCAGCAAYTTGGGAGGCTGAGACAGGAGGATTGTGAGTTCAAAGCCAGCCTCAGCCACAGTGAGGTACCAGGCAACTCAGTGAGACCTTGTGTCTAAATAAAATACAAAATAGGGCTGGGGTTGTGGTTCAGTGTTTGAGTTCCCCTGAATTCAATCCCCAGTACCAAAAAAAAAAAAAAAAAAAAAAGTTGGAGCTTCCTGGGCACCCCATTATGTGCTGTCTGCCTCTACAAGCCTGATGCCCAAACTGGTGCACACCTGGTAGAGAATCTGAGGATTCATTAAACCAAGCTGAGTGTTGGTCATGTGGGGGACGGTCCTGCTTGGTCCTGGGGTCAGAGTGATGTGGGCATGGACCATAGCTGGTATTTTTTCTTGAGATGAGGAGATTGGGGACACCTGAGGTAGTCTTGACAACCCACAGAGGTATGTTTGCTGGGTGTCACACCACACCCACTCTACCCCCTAAGTTCAGGGCATTTTTAGTATCCTGTTCCAGGTCAGCGCTGTRCCTGGGGCAAACTTCAACAGTCATCAGGAGAGAGGAACTTGTTTCCAAACCTGATTTCCTTTGCCAGTTGCCCTTTTTAGAATTTAAAGCAGAGCCTGGAGGAAGGTTGGAATTGACTTGGAGTCATCCATGGCCCAGAGTGTGGGCTCAGGTGTGGCTTATCATATGGATTTGGGAGCCAGCCCACAGACCCAGAGYAGCTGCTGCTGCTGGTCCCTCAAAGGATCAAGCTATGACCTTGTTGGGGGTGAGGGAGGGTCTCTTGGGCTCAGCTGAAGGGTGTGGATTTGCAGGAGGACTTGACATTGACCACTGGGTCAGTGTGCTGGTGGTGAGGAGGGATTGTGGAGAGCATGGTTAACTCCAGTCTCCAAGGTCGTCCTCCTGTGCCTGCTGGTCAATAACGTGCTGCCTTCATTTTCAGTACATTTTCGCTATGTGGTGTTCCACCCATTCCTGGATGAGATTTTGATTGGGAAGATCAAGGGCTGCAGCCCAGAGGGAGTGCATGGTGAGGTGACCCTGAGTATCTCGGGGAGTCTGGCTGGGGGCAGGTAGCCTGTGCTGTGCATGTGGTTGGGGGGGTGGGGTGCTCAGATATGGAAGCAGATCTTCCTGTGCTGTTGGAGGAGACTGCTCAGCTTTCAGGGCCAAGCACAAGAATACTCAGCTCCCTCCCACTTTCAGGTATTGAGCAAGGACCTCAGTTGGCCATTGGCTTTCACTATGAGGCCATAACTCAGACCTCAGGTTTGGGGTACCAGGTGCTTAGAGCTTTGCCCAGGCTGGTGTGTGATGTAGGCAGAGGTATGGGGATCTGAGGTGAGAAGGGCTAAATCCCATGGTGACATCAGTCCCATGGGCACACTGGATAGTGATGTGCCTGTTGAGCATGCAGACCCCTTATTGTCTGGCTGGCTTCTTGGGCCCTGTCTCATGCAGTCATCTCCGTTTCTTCCAGTCTCTCTAGGGTTCTTTGATGACATTCTCATTCCCCCAGAGTCACTGCAGCAGCCTGCCAAGTTGTATCCTTCCAAGGTAAAAGTGGGTCACAGAGGAGTTAGGCCTCTTCAATAGAAGGTACCTGCTCCTGTGGTGGCCTTCATATCCTGTGACCTGACACTGCTGTCCCCCTGCAGCCCTTGTGCTCTGGGTATGCTGACCCACCTCTGCTTTCCACCTGACCTCAGTTCCATGTGCCCTTGTCTGCAAGTAGCAGGCTGGTGGTAGAATAGGGCTGTGGGACCCTCTTCTTCTGATTCACTTTACTTAGGTGCAAGTCTTCCTCTCCAGGCCCACTATTGTCCCAATCCCAGTGCTGCAACTGGCTGCACTTGTCTGTTTCTGTGGAGCTGTCACTAATCAGAGACTCTTCACTGGAGGAACTGTAGCCAGGGGCCAGATGGGGCCTGGTAGAGGAGGCAGTGCCCAGTGGTGGGACTGCCACTAGAGGGCAGTGTGATTCATTGTGGGCTCTGGGGTAGGAGAGGAGGGGGTGATGGGGGTGGGGTTGCTGCCCTGCCTGGTGTGACATCACACCTGACCCAGCCTGGCTGCTACTCTCATCAATGGTAGGGCTTTAGGCAGGTAACCTCCCAACCACCTCATCCTCCTGAGAACTGGACAAGCCCTTAAGCTACCTGCCCCTTGGGTTGTCACAAGGTTTGGATGAGAAGTGGTGTGAGGTGCCTCAGTCACTCTTTGAGAGGTGGGCTGGCTGTGGTCCCAGYGTTTCCCTGGCAGCAGCAACTCCTGCTTCTCACTGTTGGAAACAGACACTGCAGCCAGTCGCACCTGCTTTTCCTGTGACTTCTCAGCCAAAGTGGTGTCATCTTTGGGGTTGTTTTTTCTTGGGGTGGGTGCTTAGGAGGACTCCACAACTCTGTGCTCCTCACGGCTTGGTTGTAGCCTTGACCCTGGGCCCCCAGTGATGAAGCAGAACAGGTGTGGGTGTGGGAGTATGAGACGGAGGAGGGAGCACACGACCTGTACATGGACACTGGTGAGGAGATCCGCTTCCGAGTGGTGGATGAGAGCTTTGTGGACACGTCTCCTACAGGGCCCAGCTCTGCGGAGACCACATCTTCCAGTGAGGAGTTGCCAAAGAAGGAGGCTCCATACACACTTGTGGTGAGAGGTTTTGATGGTGCAGCAGGAATCACTGGGAGGCAGGAGAGCCCAGTGTGCAGTGATGGGCGGCTCCCTGGAAGTTCTGCTATAGGACCTGCTCTCCAGCAGGTCAGGGACCAGGCCCCTCTTGTGTGGTCTTGGCCAGCCACTTCTCCCCAAAATCGAAATCCCTGTTTCTCAAGGCTAGGGCAGCGGAGCCAAAGTTGCCAGGAATATTGGAGAGGTTGGGCAGGATTAGTGCCTTGCCTGCAAGGGTCCATGCTGCACAAGCCACCGGGGCTGCAGGGAAGAAACAAGCCAAGGAGGGAAGAGTGGCCCGGGGGCTGCTCCCTCTGTACATATTTGGAGGCCAGGCCTCATGAACTGTCAGCTTTTCTGGCAGGACTAGACTACAGATGGCTTAGGAGGGTGGGCCTGGGGGTGAGGACCGGTGCTTGATCCCACCTAGGCCTTGGGGCCAGCAAACCAGCACTCTCCTKACAGACCTCAGGAGGGGAGAGGCAGGAGAGGGGTCTGTGCCCCATGTGCTCCACTGTGCCATCACGGATGTGGATCCTCATTTCACTACAGCCCCATGGCTGTTGTGTGCCTCACCTTTCCTTTGCCTATGCTGGTTCTGCTGTGAATCGAGGGTGGGTCCCTGTTATCTCCTCTCCAGGGTAGTTAAGCCCTAAATGGTGGTGAAACATACCTGTTCTCTCTCTGGCAGGGATCCATCAGTGAGCCTGGCCTGGGCCTTCTCTCGTGGTGGACCAGCAACTAGATCTGGGGTTCGACGGGGAACTTGCCCATCCAGTAGACCCTACCTCAGCCCTGGGGAAGGTGGTGCAGCTGGTCCTGAGCAGATGCTGAGGAGTCCATGTCACCCAGGACCAGAAKGGGCAGGGGTCAGCACTGCTGCCAGCATGTCCTCCCTCCCCAGTGACCTAGCCCTGATCTTCCCCACAGAGCGCTACCCCTGAAGTCCTGCTATCCTGTGATTTTTTTTTTTTTTTTGGCAGTGCTGGGGGATGATGGAACATAGGGCCTGCCACAAGCTAGGCAAAGACTGAGACCACTGAGCCACACCCCCAGCCCTATCCAGTCCCATCCTGTGATTTTCAGTGATAGCAACATTTTAATAAAGTAATGGCAGCATTTGCAGGGAAGGATCATCAAGATCCTTCCCTGGATTTGTTTCAATGGCTAATGTCATGATCTACTTAGTTGCCAAGCTGGGACATGTCCTTAACTCACCCCATATCCCTTTTGAAGAACTCCCCCCAAATGGCAAAAAGTGGGGTTTTCAGATTGTGGAATTCCTGCCACCCCAGGCAGGGCCTTGGGCTGGCTGAGCTTGGCTCCATAGTAGAGAGAGGCCAGTCTAGGCTAGCTGCTTTGGTCCTGAAGCTACCAGTTATTGACTGAGTTAGAGGCAGTACACCCACTCTGCATTTGGAAAATAGAAGGAAGCCCCTAAAATTGGCCAAACCAGCTCTGAGTTGAGGAAGTGAAGGCTGTGGGCTTTCTTGACCCCAGGTATCATCCCCCATAGAAGAGCAGGAATCCTGGTGCCTGTYACTCAGATTGCAGGTATAGCTATGTAGTGCAGTGATGCCCCAGATTTGAGCAGGAGAATGGCTCTGACAGGTCCTCCTGCCCCTTTCTCCCAATGCTGTGGACACCAGGACACTTGTACCTGAGTCTTGTCCTGGTGTTGGGCCTCCATGGAGACTTTYTACTTCAGGTTACCAGTGGAAGTCTTGGGCAGTGTCAGCCTATGTAACCTCAGGGGGACCCTATTTTTCACCATGCTAAAGGGACAGAACATTATATAGCATATTCCAGTCATGACCTTATCTGTAAGATACACAGGCCATCCCTCAGAGTGATTAGAGGGATTAACAAGACCATGCCAGCCATGCCATCAGTGCCCAAGGGAAGAAGGTGGGTTCTTTCTCCAAGAGGCTCTYTCCCACCAGGAAAACTATGGGATCTAGGGCCATGCCTGTATAGCTGGTGCAAGTGCAGGAGGGCAGGTGGTGATGGGGAGGGCCTTTCTGCCACAGCTCACATCTCCTTCACAGCAGCAACTGGGCTCCAGGTGTGACTGTGGGGTGTCCACTGACATTGGCTAAAAAGGCCTTCCCTGAACCCTGGAGTTGGTACAAACAGCAGAGACCACCACTCACGCAGGAACAGTCAATGAATTTGGATTCTTATTTTTCTTGCAAGAAAAAAATGTTCTCTAAAATCCTTCAGCCACCAAATGATCAGGCAGAATAAAAATTTCTTTAGAGGGGAGTGTTGTCATAAAAATAAATACAGTCATGTGGCGCTGCTCAAGATTTGAACCAAACTAAAAATGGGAAGGCAGGGGGCTGGAAATTGATTTTAAGAAGCCCCCACCATGGGTCACTGAGTGGGCTGAGGTGGGAAAGAGCAGGAAGCACGTCTGGTCACACCATCCCGGAGTAGGAAGCCATGATTGGATGGACCAGTGGCCTTGACGATGCATGTGGAACTGCACTTGTAATGACACCAGCGTGGGCAGGGGTGGGGCAGAGCAGGGCCCTTCCTTACTGCTGCAGCTCCTTCATCCTGTTCAGAGCACTGCCTGCACGGAACCACTCAATCTGCGTCTCGTTGAAGGTATGGTTCAGGAGGATGGTCTCCTGGGTCCCGTTGGGGTGCTTGATGATGCATTTCAGGGGCTGCAATGGGGGAGGCAGGTGTAGGTAAAGAGCCATAAATGTTCCTAGCAACATGACCCCTGGCAGGGTTGAGTTGAGGCAGGAATGGGAAGGTAGGGAGAAGCCAGCCTGGGGTAGCTGCTTTGGGCCCTGAAGTTGCCAAGGGATTTGGAGGCCTATAGGCAAAGTAAGTCCTAGGCAGATCTGGGCCTCAGTGCCACCCACAGGGGGGTCCTGGGGCCAGTGGATCACACTGGGGAAGCCTGGGCTGGCTCCACCCTTGGCTCTGGAAAGGCACTTCTCTTCCTGTCTGGGATTTGCCTAGAGAACTTAAGGGCCCTTCCAGTTCACTTGGAGGAGCTGCAGGGACAGCAGGAAGGGAAAGTGGCTGCCCCAATCTTCCACCCAGGAGGACCCTAGCCTGTTTATGCTCCTTCCCTGCCCCCTGACCTTGCCGGGGGCAAAGTCCTTCAAGCCCTGAATGGTCAGCTTGTCCACAGGGTGTATCTTGTTGTAGTCAGCAGGGTCAGCAAAGGTGAGAGGCAACAGGCCCTGCTTCTTCAGGTTGGTTTCTGGAAGACAGAGGCACACTCAGTTAATAGGGTGGTGTTTGCTAGTCCCCAGCCTTACCTTCCTCTTCCCCTTCAGAGACCTTTACCAGTCCAAGGAATATATCATTTTCTAAATCTGGTTGGGACCTTGGCAGACACCTTGGTCCTGCTACTGGGAACAAACACAATGACTAGAGAGCTCAGGTCTACTAAAGTCCCAGTGACATGCTSCCTTTCACTAGGGGCACCTGAAGGGGTATGCCTTGGTGCAGATGTCTCTGTGAGGCCTTCCTGGTAGACATGTTCACAATGAGAACAGACTCTCTCATCATGTGTCCTGGATTTCARCTGCTCTGGTCTTCAAGTGTGGAAGCAAGACCAGCGCTGATGGGAAGCTGTGGACATTGGRTTTGGGCAATGTAAACCTGAGAAGGGGCTGATGGTTAGACATAGACTGGGAGCTAGGCACTTGGCTCCAGGACCAAGCAGGCTGCTGGCAGGGTGGGTGACCTTRGGCTCTGAGTGAAGGGCAACAGGTATGGCTGGGTGTGGACTCCCACTCACCGTGGATCCTGGCGAAGCTCTTGGTGATGATGGCCCGGCCACCAAGGTGGCGAGGCTCCAGCGCTGCATGCTCCCGGCTGGAGCCCTCACCATAATTCTCATCTCCAATCACCACCCAGCTGATGCCGTGTTTCTGCCGGGCAAGGGGAACTCGTCATGAGGCAGAGGAAGGCATGCGCCTCCCAGTAGCCCTAGCGCATACTGAAGCCCATGAGGGAAGGGCTGGAGGGGCTTTCCTCTTTTGCTCTGRAGGGCAGCTGAAGTCAGAGTGGACTGACTGGGTCCAACTAGGCCCTGAGGGGCAGCAGCAGGTGGACATGGGCCCGCCTGCCTGTCTGCAGTGGACACAGAAGTCACAACACTGGGGCTTAGTGCAGAGTCAGAAAAATGGAGGTCAGAGTGGGGCAGAGCTGTGGTTACAGTAGGCAGGGGAGACAACGCTCTTGTACAGCTGGTGTGGGCTCTGGGGTGCAGTGAGCACCCACTGTGCCCTGCCCAGCCACCAAGGGGTGCCCGGAGATACTGATGGGCCAGGACTTGGGATTAGCCTTGGTTCTGTTCATTTCTCAAAATAGAAAGAGTCAAAAAGCTTTGGACTCTGGCTCTGCCTCTAACCTTGGCAGCCCCTTGGTTCCTCTAACCTTGTCCCCAAACTCCTTGCTCCCTGGCTTCTGGCTGGGCCAGGMTGACCGTGGATCCTCATTGCCCATTCCCTTAAGGCCTGCACAGCTCTTTTCTTCTTTGAGCCTCAGGCTCCTCTCTGATTTCCCAAGGCAGTTCCTCTTTCCTCCACAGTTTCTTGCAACATTCTTCTCAGAACTGGGTCAAACATCTGCCAACAGTGCTCCTCTCACTATTGGCTCCTGGGTGTGTGCACCCAGCTCTGCCCACCTGAGCTGCAGGGGAGTGGCTGAAGGGCTTTCCTTCCTTCCTTCCAGATGGCAGTTCCCTCTGAGAAAGTGGTTGCCTGCCACCCTGTTTCCATTCCCCATGTCTTCCCTGTGCCTGCCCTGCATGCCCTCAGGAGAGYGGTTCCCAGCACTGCCCCTCACTGACTGTGCCCTACCTTGTAGTAGCGGGCAGTGTCAGGGACAGGGCCAAATTCCTGGGTGACAGCGTTGCGCACRGAGTTGGCTTTGCCATTTTCAATGTTGATGGCACCGATGAGCAAGTTGTTAGAGATGTTGTCCAGGTGCCCACGAAACTTGAGCCAGGGACCTGCAGCTGAGATGTGGTCTGTGGTACACTTCCCTTTGACCTTGATGAGTGAGCAGAGGCGACAGAGGTCAGTATGGGGCCGGTGAATGGTAAAGGGAAGAAGCCGCCTTCCAGAGGCAGGTAGCAGGCAGGCCCAGGACCCAAGAGGAGTGACCAGGGAAGCAGTTTCTGGACATGTAGTCTGCAGTCCTGGTGCTGCCAGGCTCAGGCAAGACAACTACCCCTCAACAACTTCTCTGTCCCTAGGGCAGGATACTCCCTCATGGGACAGGACACTTAAAGGGAAGATAGATGTATCTGCCCACTTCCCCTCCAGGCCTAGGCCTCAATTTAGAACTGTCCAAGGTRGAAGATTAAACAGACTTCACGTTAGACACAGAGAGCCTGGGACACTGGATTCCTGGCTATTGGCTGATCAGTCTTACGTCACATGGACTCAATACTGGCTGTGTCACAGGGGTACAAGACCCCTTAGTAAACATATAAATTAATGTCAGACATGGGTTTGAGGTCCCTGGCCACAAATAAAGGCTCAGCTCAGCTCCCACACATAGGCCACACCACTAGTGCTCAGCAGGGGCCAGGAGGAATCCACAGCTTCAGGAGCCTGGTCAGTGAAGCCAGAGATGTGGAAACCCACTGTATAGTCATACATGTCCGATGAGTGAGCCCTGGACAACAGCTAGTCAGATCCAGCCCTACTTGGCTTGGGCCATAGAGAAGGGGAAGCCCAGGCTACAATGCCCTTCTTCCTCTTGTAGTAGCAGGCAGTGTCAGGGACAGGGCCAAACTCYTGGGTGACAGCGTTGCGCACGGAGTTGGCTTTGCCATTTTCAATGTTGATGGCACCAATGAGCAAGTTGTTAGAGATGTTGTCCAGGTGCCCACGAAACTCCCTTCCTGTCCCACCTTCATCTTGACCATCCACCCTTGCTCCCAATGGGTTCCTAATCTTTCCTGATGCTCAGGGAACTGGGGGCCCCAGMAGTTCTGCCAGTCCTCTTGCTGCTGACCTTGATAAGGATCTGCAGGTCCTCTAGGTCTTTGCCGTCCCACTTGTCAAAAGGCTCCAGGAGCTGCAGGCGCTGGCTGGTAGGGCTCACATCTACCCGCTGCCCACTGCTATCCTTGGGGGGATGCTGGTAGGTGTCCTGTCCTGGGTCAAACTCCTGTAGCAGGGGACAGAGAATGCTGAGTGCTGGATCTTCATTCCCCATAGAGATGGCTCTCAGAGCAAGCAAGCTTTCCCCTGCCCCAAGCCACTTCCTCCCAGAGAATGTAGCTGCTTCATTTTCAMTAACATTGTCACCCCTGCCTGCACAAGAGGGGCCAGCCCCAGATGTTCAGATGCTGGGAAATGTCTTGGCCACACAGCAACCAGCAATGGCTCTGAGGCACCCAGGCCAAAGCAGGCCTTCAGAGGCTGACAATAGAGTGACAGTGCCTGCTCACCGCTTGGGGCAGCTCATCTGCATCCGGAGCCTCCAGCTTGAACTTCYTGCCATCCTTGCCTGTCAGGAAGTCAGTTTCTGGGTTGAACTTGAGGGTTCCTGCGATGGCCAAGGCTGTGACAATCTGAAATGGAAGAAGCCAGTTWGCTGGTGAGCCTAACCATCACATTTACCCTCCCCATTCCAGCTGAAGCCTAGACCAAACTGAGAACAAAAACCAGGAAGCGGCCGGGTGCGGTGGCCCACACATGTAATCCCAGCAGCTCAGGAGGCTGAGGTAGGAGAATCGCAAGTTCAAAGCCAGCCTCAGCAAAAAATGAGGCGCTAAGCAACTGAGTGAGATCTGTCTCTAAATAAAAATACAAAATAGGGCTGGGGATGTGGCTCATTGGTCAAATGCCTATGAGTTCAATCCCTGGTACCAAAACAAACAAACACATAAACCAGGAAACGTCTATGTTCATCCCAAGTCCCTTTTCTTAAGAGGCCAGAACTGCAGAACTGTCTTTGGGATCATGGGCCATTGTGCTGCAGAGGACTCAAGAATGCAAAGGCCATCTGGCCTTACCACTGCTGTTGGGGCCCAAGGTTAGCATTCTCCCACAGGTTAGGCAAACACTACTGTAGCATTCTCCAGTCCCCTGTGTCCTGGGCAGACAAGGAAAAGCCCCAGCACAGAAATTCTGCAGTGATGAAATGCTCCTAGGTRGACAGCATGTGGAAAGTACAAGAGCTGCAATCTCCTTTGCAAAGAAATACAAACATTCTAGAACATTCATGCAAAAAAGAGAATAGCCATGTGCCAGTGATGGCAAGGCAGGAAACCTGGGCACGTCAGCTTGCTCAGTGCTCACCATAATAGCAAGGCCTAAYT